CAGATGTATTCATTCGTTCGTTCACTCAGTAAATACTTATTGGTCATCTACTATGTGCCAGGCATTTTCTAGATCCCTGGAGGTCACAATGTGCAACATTCCTTTGTCTATGGGCTTACATTCTATGGAGGGAGAACAGAGAAAAACGAACTCAAAATATGTATGTCAGGTAGTAACTAATGCTATACAGAAAAACCAAGTAGGGGAAAGCAGATAGCAATTGGTGGGTGGTAGTTGGATTGCTGTTTTCTATGGTGTGGGTCAGGAGAGGCTTTGCTGATAAGGTGATAGTTGAGCAGACACCTGAAGGAAGTGAGGTTAGAATCACGTAGATGTTTGGGGGAGAAACGTACTTGGCAGTGATAACAGCAGATGCCAAGGCCCTGAGGCAGGATTGTGTTCAGAGCACTTGAGTAAGGAGGCGAGTGAGGCCAGAGCAGAATGAGTCAGGGGAGGAGTGGGAGAAGAGGTGTCAGGGGCTCAGAGTAATCATAGTGGTGTAGACCTTGGCAAGGACTTTGATTTTAGCTTTGAATGAGCTGAGAAGCCATTGGAGGGCTTTGAGCAGAGTAGTGGCATCATCTGGCATATTTTGTAAAAGAATCACCTTGACTTCTGTGCTGAGAGAGAACAGGAATTCTCATAATATTCTAGGGGGGAGCTGACAATATTATCTGGGTGATGTTGGCAGAGGAGAGAAGATAATTCTGAATATTTTTGGAAAATAGTGTCCACTGTATTAAGGAGTGAAAGATGTCTCCAAATTTTTGTTTGCTTTCATGGTTGTCTGAGCAACAAAAAGGTGAAATTGCCATTTGGGGGAAGATAGTGGGAGCTTTGTTTGGGACATGTTTGTAACTCCTTTTAGACTTCTGTGAGAGGATATGAAGTAGACCATTGGACGTATCAGTGTGGAGTTGGGAGGAAATGTTTGGGCTGTAGGTAAATATTTTGTAGTCAATAGCACATGGGTAGTATTTGAAGCTACAAGATTGCATAAACAGGCTTCCAGGAGAGTAAGTTTCCAAAGAATAGAAATGTCAGACAATTCCTTCCTGGGACTTACTCTGTCCATTGTGGGAGTCTATATAGTTCCAAGCAGTTTTAATCTAATGCCTTTTATAGGAGATGGAGTAACCTTACTTTAAATTACTTAAGTCTTTTATGAGTATCTGAGAAAAAATTTTGACTCTTGCTAGGCGAGTATTCTAATGGATACTTTTTCATCAATACTTTCTGATTAATGTATAGAGCTAAGATATTTGTTTTTCCCTCATTGCATTGAGGGAAGGTCAAGGTGAGCCCCTATCTTGTGTTCTGACAAAAGAACAGGAGGAGGCTGAGAGAGCAGAAAGACAATAGAATACACCAGGAAGATGCCTTTTAACCCTGAGCTGTTGCTTTCATGGAACATTTTTTATATTTGTTTTTTCTGCAGAAGTTCTCATTTGGAGGATTATCCCTTCCATGCAGAATATTGAAGCTGAACCTCCTGATGAGATTACCTGGTGGATTTTCTCTCTTCACCGACATATAACTCTTTCCACTGAAGTGTGACTTTAGGCAACCTTATGTGAAATCATACTGAGCCTGGCCCTGTTGTAGGCCAGAAGTAGACAGTGTCGTTTCTAGATCCTTATATTTGAGCAGGAGCAGATTATCAGAGTTAAGGAAGACTGATAAGCAAATGATAATTTGTTTTAATATTTGATATGATGAAATGTTAAACACTGGGAACTCTGCTAATACTGAGGATACGAATATAAAAAGAATAAAAAATCATAATTGAAACCAACCTGTATTGAGAGTTCACTATGCACTAACACATTTGAAGTGCTTTTCGTATGGGTGAAGTCAAAGTCATTGAATCATCACAGCAACCCCTTTGACCAAGGTAGCCTTGTCATTCACATTTCATGGGAGAGGAAACCGAGTCATGGGGACCCCAAGAAACCTGGTCTGTGCCACTGTAGTAATCAATTTTCTCTTGCTTATAATAGAATAACTGAAACTGGGTAGTTTATAAAGAAATGCAGTTGATTTCTTATCCATTTGGAGGCTGAGAATTCCAAGGTCCAGTGGGCATATCTGTGGAGGGCCATCCTCTTGATGGGGACTCTCTAAGAGTCCCATGGCAGTGCGGGTGTCACATGGTGAGGGCTGAGCAAGAGTGAGCTCATGTGCTCTCTTTATAAAGGCACCAGTCCACACCTATGATAACCTGTTACTCTATTAACCCATTAATGGATTAATTCATTCACAATCCAATCACCTCCTAAAGGCTCCACTGTCCTATAGTGCCACACTGAGGATCTAGCTTTCTCATGAGCTTTGGAGGGGACAGACATTCAGATGATAGCCACTCCAGTAGACAGTGGCTAAACCAAGCTCCCAGGCAGGCAGTATCTGAAAGAGCTCATAGTGATTTGTTCTCTTCCTCTCGTATCTTCTCCTGGCACCTTCCCTCCTTGCCTTTCCCTACCTTTACATTTTCTTGGTCTCCCACCTTGCCTTTAATATGTCATCATGCCAAAGAGTCAATGCACAAAGGAGCCCCTGTTCATTGAGAAAGAGCTAAGGTATATCCCTGGAAAAGGGGTGGGAAATGGTGGTGTGTCTGCGCAAGAAAAACGCTTACTATTGCTATTAATCTGGAACATTTTTTTCTGTAATAATTTTTTCTTATGAAATGTTAACCTTGTATAGAAATGTACAGAGAATAACATAGAACACCTGGCCACCCATTTTACAGATTTGATAAATGCTCATAATTTGCCATATTTGTTCCAAACCTGTTTTTAATAAGTGGTGACCAATGTAGTTGAAGAGCACTAAGTACCTCCCCAATTGCATTCCCCTGAATCCCTCCCCAGAGGTCAATGCCCATCCTCTAACTGGTGAGTCCCTGCCTCCTCCTCTGCTACTTATTTGCCTACTTGCTCTCAGACCTGTTTCCAGCACTTTCCTTCCTCTATTCTTCACGGCAGCTATCTATACCTACATTTCTCAGTCTTCTGAGCCAGAAGGATTCCACTGGGTTTGCTTAGTGGGAGGTACTGTTGGGAGATCAAGGGCTGGAGGAAGGGGAAAACCAAGTGCTTCTCCCACTCTGTCCACCTTGAGTGGTGTCTCCAGTACAAGTCACATCTCCTCTGTGGTCCCAACTCTTGCCACACAGCCTCCACATTGCTACTATATCCTACCTGATGACATGGCTTCTGAGATTAGGCAATATCGGGTTCTCCTGTGTCCTTCATTCATAGGAGTGGTAGTTTCTTCCTCTTGTTACCTTGTCTTCTCCCTCTTGGTCTCCCAGCTCTTCCATTACCTGTGTGACCAGTTGTTGAAATTTTAAAATTCAAATGGTTTCTGTTCTCTTGGCTGGACCATTGACTGATATACTCCCTGTTCATGTTTTCAATTTTTACTATTTATGTACAAATTTATTAATAACTTATGGAGTTGTTTGGGGTGCTTTTAAAATGTATACAAAATGTGTGAAAATATACAGGAAGTAATTTCAAGCCAGGGCCCAGTAATATTTCTTTTTAAATTTTATTTTATTTATTTTATTTTATTTTATTATTTTCCTGCAGAAAATAATTTTCAGTAAAATTTGAAAGGACCCTCAACAGAGAACACTGTTGAAAATAAGAATTTGGGGGCTTTAATAATGAGGACACACAACTATAAGAATGTAAACTCTGAACATAAAACATATGCAAAAAATAACAGGCAGTAAGCAAACTTGGAAAAAACCATTTGCCATGAATGTGACAGAAAACAAATTAGTAATTATTTCAGTATGAAAAGAACTTATTCAAAACAGTAAGAAAAATCTAAGATGCCAAAAGGAAAGTTGATACATGAAAATTGACCAATAAACTATATGAAAAACTATGTGTACTATTAATCAAAAATGCAAATTGAAACAAGCTGTTTTTACTATCAAAACAACACTCAATAAAAGGAAAAATTATCTAGAAAGATACGTATGCTAACAGGTTTTTTTTCTGTTTGTAGGAGCAAGCTGATTGTTTTTCTTTTTATATAATTTTCAAATTTTTTACAATAAAAAATCCACTTTGACAATCATAGAAGTATTAAGTATTTTAAAAATAATAAGGATTCAATTCAATCAGTTATTTCACACATCCACTGGGAAAGCCAAATCAAAGAAACACTTTTACTTGAAATTATTCTCATTCCGGGCCGGCCTGGTGGCGCACTGCTACAGTGCGCCACTTGGGAGTGTGGTGGCGCTCCCGCCGAGGGTTCGGATCCCACATACAGACCGGTTCCCGCTCACTGGCTGAGCGAGGTGCGGGAGCAACACCGAGGGTTGCGATCTCGTTGCCGGTCCCGGTCCGGTACAGGCGCGACACTGAGGGTTGCGATCCGTTGCTGGACACGAAAAAAGACAAAAAGGAAAAAAACAAACAAACAAACAAAAAAAATTATTCTCATTCCATTGGCCTTTCAACTTTAGAAAACAAATATTCTGAATGGACAATGCAGTGGAATTTGATTATATTGTATTTTAAATTCTACCCAGTTTGTTTGTTTTTCCTCATTTGTTTTCAGGAGGATCCTTGTTTTCCCAGAAATTCCATGGAAGTTTTTAGCCCTGAACACCTTAAAAGTTTGCCTTTCAGCACTTTCGTTGGTTCAAAAGGTCAGTCCCCAGAAAAGTTAGGGAGAGTTGGTGGGGACTAAGAAGACCTTGACCTTGTGATTAAAACATCACACAGGATAGGTGGTTTGTCTTCACCACCGTGCCGTGCCCCAGGGCTTTTGCTCTTGCTATTCCTGCTGGTAGGGATGTTCTGCCCTCAGATATCAGAATGATTCATTAACTTATAGTCTTTGTTTCTTTGCTCAATTGTCACCCTCTCAGTGAGGCCTTCCTTCACCACCCTATTTAAAATCAATCCATCTCTGCTGAAACTCCCTCTTGCCCTTCTCTGCTTCCCTTTCCTCCACAGCATTGTTTATCTAACATGTTACATACACCTTAGGTATTTGTTATTGGTTTGCTTACTTCTTCTGTTTCCACCCACTAGAATGTGAGATTTCTGCAAGAAGGAATTTTCATCTGTTCTATTAGTCGTTGTATTCCCTGTGCCTAAATAATATCTGTTCAATAAATGGGTGGGTGGATGGGTGAAGAAACCGTTTTTATTTCAATTTTATAGATGAGAAAACTGAAACTACATCTCTTAATTGTTACACCAGTGATGCCTACTCACATTTTCTGAAGTAAATCTATGAATGATTCTACAACTAGTCATAAATTTCAAAAACAGTACAACATTCCAAAATTGGAACTGAGATGATCACTTTGGAGGCAGGAATGCTATGTGGAAAATGTCTTTTTTTTTTTTTGTCTTTTGTCTTTTTCCGTGTCCGGCAACGGATCGCAACCCTCGATGTTGCCCCCGCACCGGACCGGGGACCGGCAACGGGACCGCAACCCTCGGCGTTGCTCCCGCGCCTCGCCCAGCCAGTGAGCAGGAACCGGTCCGCATGTGGGATCCGAACCCTCGGGCGGGAGCGCCGCCGCACTTCCCAAGCGGCGCACTATCCAGTGTGCCACCGGGCCGGCCCGAAAATGTCAGTCTTTAATTCAGGATCAAATTTTTACTTCTGTCCTTACTCAAGTCTAAAAATGAGGGGTAAAACAGGAATTGAAGAACCACTAATATTCTCTCCCTTCAGTTCTGTTTGTTATGTCAGTCTTTAATTCAGGATCAAATTTTTACTTCTGTCCTTACTCAAGTCTAATAATGAGGGGTAAAACAGGAATTGAAGAACCACTAATATTCTCTCCCTTCAGTTCTGTTTGTTCTACTCCAGGCTAGAAGCAGGCGCATTCCCCTTATTAACAATTCTTTCCTAAGTGTAAGTTGAACAGGGATTGGTTATAGGCCATGTCCCCAGGATCTGTTTTCTACCAGGACACAGCTTTCAGAAGGTTAGAGAAGCAGTGAGCAGAGGCAAAGGGCCACAGTACTTCTGTCAAGGAGCCAAGAGATACTAATAGCTCAGATGAGGAGCACGGGCAAAGACAGCCTATCGGCCTCCCATGGGCCGTTAGCTGTGCTAACTGAAAACAAGTATCCCCAGTACTTCCACCTTGGAATAATCCTAAAATTCAAGAAAGATAATAGCTCCTCTATATTTATTAATAAGCATTATTCATAATCTGGCTCACTTCCTATGATCAGCAATAATTTGATTATTTTAGTTTTTATGTTTTCCTTAATGTCTGTATTAGTTCTGCTAGGGCTGCTGTAGCAAATTACGATAAGCTGGGTGACTTAAAACACCAGAAATATATGCCTGCACAGTTCTGGAGGCCAAAAGTCCAAAATCAAGGTGTCGGTGGGGCCCCAGTCCCTCTGAAGGCTCTAGGAAAGGATTCATCCTCACCTCTTTCTAGCTTCTGGTGGTTGCCGGGAAACCTTGCCTTATAGCTGCT